TCTGGCTAAAGACAGGTATTTTAACGTAAAACATAATTTCTAACAATTTCACGCCTAAGATCAAAAACCATTATTTCAGCTCAAATAATTATAGGAAGTGGTAATCCAGGTTTGCATATCAGGTTGACTCCTTCTGTCTAACCCAAGACGATCCGGTTAATAATGTGAAATAAATTTTTATTGCTTAATTTTTCTATGGGATAGTTTCCATTTTACAATGCAATTTTTCATTTCCTTTCAATGCAATTTTAATGCTTATAAAAATTAGATTGCTTCAGATACCTATTTTGTTTCAGAATTAAACCTGGATTAAATTTTATGTAAATCAGGGCTGTCAAAGTCACGGCCTGTGGGCCAGATGCATCACACACTGGCCACTCTTTTCCCCTTAGCAAAGGGGAAAAAAATTCCCGATAAGTCAGGTGACGCCACCATGATGACGCAAGTTTGAAAGCCCTGATGTAAGTAATCACATCTCTTTTGGTGTTAACATTAGGGTGCCTTTATTTTTTATTTACTAAATTCAAACAAGTATGCTGTAGAATTTTTAAAACTTTTAAATCTAAATAAAGTGATCTTAATTCTATTGGAGAAAAGTTAGATAAGATAGTTAGGCATCATGTAAAACAGTGTAGCATAATAGCTTTGCTCACTAAAAATTCCAAAGGTATTGTAAAATTTTCTGGTTCAGTTTTTCCCCAGAAAACCACTTTATCAGACATTTATTTAGCCCTAAATTCAGAGGAATTAGTATGGTCATAAAGGACTGCCAAACATTTGGCAGACATTTGGCTGCCAAAATCTAGACCACCACTGCATGACAAAAGAGCATTTTCAGTGTCCCTATGCTGCCATCTAGTGATCCTTTGGAGTTTTGCATTCAAGAACTGATAGTTTAAGGACACATTCCAGGTACTTGTTTCCAGGCAGAATTATAGAGATATAGTAAAAAATAGCTTGAGCTTTCTATGTATCTAATTTTAGCTTTCTAGTTAACATAATACATTAATTATTTTAGTATCTTTCATTCTGAAAAGTGTATACATATTTATTTTTCTTATTTTGCTAACAAAAATATTTTTGCTTATTTCAGGACTTATCAGAAAGTACTAGCAACCTCAATATAATTACCACAACCAATCATTTGATCAATCACTAAATAATCTTTCAAATCAAGGAACTAAAGCAAATTAAACCTACCATACTATATCATCTCCATGTACTTAAATGTTATCAGGAGTATTACGGAATCTAATTAATTTATATAGATATAGAATCACAGAATGGCAAAGTTGAAAGATCTTATGGTACAAGTTGCAACCTCAATCCAAATAAAAATCACATGGCAATTCAGCTCCTTGTATGGATTTCATTGAATCCATACAATGAAAAGAAGTCCATCATATTTAACCACTGAAATTTGCTGTTATTTTATGGAAGTTAAACTGGTATCCTGTTCCTATAACTTAATATATCTTCAGGCACAATGCTAAAATATAATCATAACAAAGTTAAATCCAAAATAATAACATCATTAATGTATCAGTATACATGTAATCCTCATTTAGTGACCACAACTGATAGCGCCAACTTAATTATCAAGCAAAGTGGTCACTACATGAAACTGCAACTCTGCTTATGATCTTATTTCAGCTCTCCTTTGTTTTACAGACTTGTGAAAGTAATGAATGTGAGGATTGGTTGTAAAGTAATTTTTTCATCATTTTCATAATTTTGAACAGTTCACTAAATGAGGTCACTAAGTACCTGTATACCATTATTGTAGCAAAAAGCCATTGTGCAGTCCAATTGCAAGTACCACAAGCAACAAAAATAATCAGATACATTTTGGACAATATTTTCAATCTTGTGATATTAAAGTATAGAATATAAAAAAGGTACTCTGCTACATAAAAGTAATACTAGTGTAAAAGTAAATGGCGAGATCCTAACTATAATTCCATTCAGACATTCATTCAAATGTTTGGGAAACCATTTGATACAATATCTAATAACTAAGAAATTTCTTAAATGCATCATAGAAATCCCAGTGCCTGCATTAATAAGAATGACTTACTCAAAGAAGATATAGTGTATGTTTCATGTATCCTTATGAAGAGATGGGTAAAATAAAACTAAGAATAAAACTACATTTGTCACTTGAAGTGCTCTTATGTTTAGGTTTTTCTGTTTAAGTTATAAAAGATGTGAAAGATCTATTATATCAGTATAACATAACTTAATAGTAAAGTAATCCAGTAGTATATATTTTCATTATAAATAGATAAGTGAAAAAATTATTAATATGTATAATAAAATATGCAAAGCACATATTATAGTAGAGATCATGAAGAAGAAAGAACCCTTATAAAACCTTTGGTTTTCAAAAATTTTCAAAGATAAAAGTGTTAAAACATTAGTAGAGACAGAAATGTAAGAATAGGATTCCAAGAGCTTTAATAAGGTGAAATAATTGCAAAATTAGATATTTGGAGAAGGAAAAAAGAATCAAAAGATATTCCTCAATTCTGAATGCATTCTCTCTCTCTCTCTCTCTCACACACACACAGAGATTTTTTTAAAATTTATAAAATCAGATTTCAAAAAATGAGCATTCTTCAACTAAGAGATAAGAGAAGTAAAAATAATGGATGCAATAGTAAAAAATAAAAAGCTGAAATTCAAAAGGAGGATTATAAATCAGTGCCGATAAAGAATAATGAAAATAAAGCTATAATTAGTTATCTGTGATACTCCAATTACACATTGTAAAAAATAAAGTAGTAGAAATTGTGCCATTTCTATTTGTTAATAAGCAGTTGATTTGGAAGGGAGGAGTTACAGGCAGAAATTACCGCTATGAAAAGGTGTACAGGTAGTCCTTGACTTCAAGTTTGTTTAGTGACGGTTCAAAGTTACAACAGCACTGAAAAATGTGATTTATAATTGTTTTTCACAGTTATGATTCTTTGCAGCATCCCCATGATCATGTGATCAAAATTCAGATGCTTGACAACTATTTCATATTTATGACCACTGCAGTGCCCCAAGGCACCGTGATCCCATTTTGCGACCTTTTGACAAGCAAAGTCAATGGGGAAGCAAGATTCACTTAAGAACTGGGTTACTAAATTATCAACTGCAATTATTCATTTAACAACTGTGGTAAGAAAAGATGTAAAAAGGGGCAAAGCTCGCTTAGATAATGTCTCACTTAACAACATAAATTCTGGGCTCAATTGTGATCATAAACCGAGAACTACCTGTAGTTGATCTTTTCTCTTTTCTACTTTAGATCACTCTCTCATAAAACTATCCAGAAACTTCGTGAAGTATATAGAATCCCACTGATTGAAAAAACCACTTGTTTAATTATTATTATTGTTATTTATTTATTTGTCATCAAGTACAAAGAAACAAGTAACAGTATAGATATAGACATGGACACATGAAAAAAATTGACACAAATAAAAGGATATAAATAGGCAAAACATAGCCATAAACACACAGAATGATTACATATAAATGGGGACAGTAGGACAGGCACGGAAGCAGTGGTGGGATTCAGACAGTTCGCACCACTTCGGGAAAACCGGTTGTTAACTTTCTGAGCAGTTTGGTGAACTGGTTGTTGGAAGAAATCATTAGGGCAGAGAACCGGTTGTTAAATTATTTGAATCCCACCACTGGATAGAAAGCATGCTGGTGCACTTATGCACACCCCCTTAGGGACCTCTTAAGATACATGAAAGGTCCACGGTAGACAGTTTAAGGTAAAAGGAATGGGGATGAGGGAAACTAACAACAGGATCAGGTAGGGTGTTCCAGACATTTACTACTCTATTGCAGAAATCATATTTCCTACAATCAAGATTAGAGCGAATTTCATTGAGTTTGAATCTATTGATAACCCTTGTGTTATTATGGTTGAAATTAAAGTACTCATTTACAAGTAGGAAGTTTTGGTAAATAATCTTATGAACTAGCATAGGTTGGAACGTAGACGGCTTAGTTTGAGGCTATCCAGACCTAAAATTTCAAGCCTAGTGGTATAGGGAATTTTATTTCGAGCAGAATATTTGAGTACTCTTCTAGTACAATATCTCTGGACCCTCTATAATGTATCGATGTCTGAAATACAGACATACACTTGGCAATTAAGAGCATCACAGGCAGTAAAAAAGCATTTTTCAAGACTGAACATGGTCTGTTCTTCTCTATTGTCTCAGACTGGCTTTTCATATTAAGTATGCATTAACATTAAACTGCATATATTGATGTTTCACATGTTAATGGACATAGGATAATAAAGGCTTCACTGAGAAATATATTAATGAAAACTGGGGGGAAAAATCTAACAAAGTAATAGAAAAGAAAACCAATCACTGGAGAGAAAAGTCAGAAACAGCAATACAAGGGGAAGGTTTTTGCTGCCATGACATTGGAAATGGAAGATACATCAAAATAAGTTATTAGTAGTCACCGTGTAGTATAATACAAAAGAAATTATCTTTATACCACTATTCTGATTGTAAAAAAGTTTCATAGAATTTAGAAGAGCAAGCCTTGATTAAACCGGGTTATGGTCCTAGTTTCTTACGCAGACTTATTTTTTTATATGAAAACAATAATCACATAATGTTGTAAATGGGCAAAACTGCTCTGTGCTACAGTCCTTAATTAAAGCTATTAATCTTTGCTACCTTTTTATTTCCAGAAGACATTTGAAAATGCCTACAGTTAATAACAATCCTTGCAGTAAAAACAGTTGCTGAAAGTTTTGCAACTGATTTTTAAATTTAGCCAGGGAAGTATATTATGCGGAACCACCGCTAAACAATTATGAAAAAAATTATAGATTTTTAAAAATAAATAATATTTTAATAATACATATTGCAATGTATATAAACAATCAGTTCTGAAAAACAGTAGCATCAAAAACAATCTTACAGCAAAAGTCCCCCCCCCTCTTTAGATATTCAGTAATAAAGCAAACCTACCTTGACACATTTTCTGGAATGTATTCTAGAACTGGATACCCATCACTTCTTCTGCCAGACAACTCAGAATGTGATTTCCATGACTCCACTAGAGGAAATGAGCTCATATGCTGAAAGGGCTGCTCTCTACCAACAGGCCGTGATAAAGCTATTCTGCCTTGAGCACCAATCCTATAGTGAAATGACTGTCCGCCAGAATTCACTCCAACAATGGCAGAGGAAGGTAGAGTACTTTCTTGATAATAGTTGTTCTCTTCAGGCTCCTGTTTAATTCCTATAGATAGACCTGAATTTGAAAACACACTAGCTTCACATGTGCCATCAAATGATGAAACGGGTGGTCCTAAAATCCCAGAAAGAGAATAGTAGTCTTTATCATCCATGAAAGAAAAATATGATCCATCCATAAATGGAAAGGGATTTGCGATGTGATTCCCTTTAAAAGAAGCACCAGAACAAGAATGTTTAGCTGATTCTTGCTTTATTGATACTGAAAATGGGGAATCAGAATTGATTTTGTTATTTTCTCCAAGACACGAGCTACTAAATATCCCATCTGGTTCAGGTTTTATAAACTGAGCAACAGTCATCTGATTAGCTACTTCATTGATAGGGATGGCATTTTCTATTTCCTCTATTTTAGGAAATATGATTTCAGAAGCACCTTTATTCTCTTTTGAATCTGGACTAGGGACCATGTCTTGAGTTGCACCAGGTCCAACCGATGTACTAGATGCTGGAAAGGTCACTGCACCATTTACAGGACTACACATTGAAGATCCCACAGTGCTTACTGCAGGACTAGAAAGTGTGGATCTATTGTTGGCATTGGAAGGGCTGGCAATAGAGCACCTTGAGTTCATATTTGCAGGACTGGATACTGAAGATCTCATTGTAATGTTATTAGGACTTGAAACTGGAGATTTCACACTACAATGACTAGGAGGGCTTGAAATAGGTGATTTCATGCTACTTATAGGACTAGAAAGAGGAGATCCTACAGTACTAGTATGTGGAGGACTATGTAACATTGAACCTCGGTTTTCAATGTTAGGTGAACATGGCAAAGGTGTTCCCTGGTTTACTGGACTATTTACGGTGAAATTTGCAAAGTTAGTAGGAGTAGTTGATGATACAGAACTAATTCCAGGAGGGCTGCATACTGAAGGAGTCATGCTTTGAGGACTACAATCTGAAGAATTCTTCTCGTGACACACTCTAGGACTCTTGATGATAGATGGTACAATGCCACCATTCACAGAGCTTGCACAGTCTGATATTAGAGGTCTCAACGACCTACTTGGGGTGTTCAAAGGAGAAGTATGATGGCCATTCTCCTTATAGAGTTTTACTAATTGCTCAACATTTTGATACATCTTTGCAGAAGTCAAGTTTCCTTGATGACTGTGCTGATCATAGGTAAAATCAACATCTCTTACAGAATCCATGTATAAACCCATTGATTCAGCTACCGTTGCAGAAAGTTCCTTGGAGTCTATCTCAGTTTTTATATCAGCGGGTAAAATAGCTGGCTGACTATGATCTGGATGAAGACAAGAAATTAGCTCAGGTTTTTCTTTGTTGCTTCCTTGAGAACGGGCGTTTGGAAATGTGCCAGAAACACAGCTCACATTTACGATCTCCATATAGTTATTACTCTCTTCAGACTGTTCTTCTGCTCCTTTAGGAGTGTACTCCACAGATTGTGAACCTTGACTCCAGCGCCTCTCCATATCTAGGCTTTTTGAATAACTGCGATAGCCTTTGGTCTCCATATCTAACAAAAGAAAACATCAAATTATTATGTAAATATATATGTGCATATATCAATTTTCTCACGTATTAAAGAATGGTGGCTGCATTCCTAGACATGATTAAGTAAGGGTAAAACTTACTGAGCATAGTGACAATTATTTAAAATAGATGAACATCTGATTGTGCTGTTTATGCTCTCGTTCAATGACTAACAATTAAAAACACAAAATTTATTATCTTGTAATAATGGGGAGTTTACAAAACATTATAAGTCCAAAAATGTAAATTTTGTACAGTTATTTCATTTTCTATGCTACCAACAGTAAATAAAATGACCTCAGAATACATTTCATTTTTAAGTTTGGAGCTTTTTTTTTTTTTTAGTAAAGGATGAGATTTAGTTGTATTAAAATGTACACTGCTAACGAGTATTACATTTTAGTATTTCCCACACAGTAAGATTCCCTTTCTTCCACAATCTATCCCCCACTTAAAAAATCTTATAATAAAGATTTCAAAAGCAAATGATGCCCTACAGTTTCCATAATTTCTTAACAACAGAATAACAACTCTTAAAAGTATATATCAATGTTGATGTTGCTCAATAATATGCAAAATAAGCACAACATACATCTAATTTGGAGCCGCATGGAGAAAATTATTATTTTATAAAAATGCAAAGCTGCGTTTATGAAATATTTGTATTTTACTCAATTGGGCAAGGAAACTATGCTGCAGATCCTGTCAGTCAAAGAATTTTGACTGGCAGGGTCTAGGAAGAGAGCTTCCTCTGCCACTGTCCCATCATTATGGACCATCTTTCCCCCCAGAGGTTAGAAGAGTTTCCACCCTTCTGGTCTTCGTGGGATTGGCTGGCACTCTGAGAGCCCTTTCTCTGCCTTTATTAACCAATGCTAAATGGCCACCTTGGATTTTATTTTATTTCTTTGAAATTTTGTATCTCATAATCGTAAAATTTTTTAAGATATATATATATATGGTTTATTCCAACTCTGGACAGCCCAGAATGTCCTATAAAGAATTTCCTTTCAATGTTTACTAGAATTTCCAAAGACTCAACTTCCTATTTTAAACATGTAAAACCTAAACATATACTATATCATTTAAAAGAGGCAGTTTCACCAAAGAAACACCACACTGTATGCTGGAGAAAAGTGTTTTGGAATCTGTCTGTCTGTCTGTCTATCTGGATGGAAGATAATAGATAGATAGATAGATAGATAGATAGATAGATAGATGCATTAACTTAAGAGTGCTACATTACTCCCTTTAGTACACTGTTCACATCAATGAAACATTTTCTGAATTTAATATTTTACTATAGATATGCAAATAATTTGAATATAATTTAGCAGTAAAACAATCCCACACCTGATAGTGAAATCCTTTACTGCTGACCGAGTTGCCCTTTTCTCAGCATCAAATAATACTATTACCCCAAAACAACAAAATAAGCAGTGGTGGGTGGCACATGAATTAACAACCGGTTCACCGCAGCACCGAAAATGTGCTCACACGCATGCTCGCTTTGCTCATACGCCTTCTGCGCATTCACATGGCCTTCTGTGCATGCACTTTGTTCATGTGCGCTCTTGCACGCATGTGCACATCTTAAAAATGCAGCTAAATAGGATACCATAGCACTGGGGCGAGTGGGCAGTCCCACCCACAGGTCACAACTACCGGTTCGCCTGAACTGGTCTGAACCGGCAGCAGCCCACCGCTGAAAATGACCCTCCGTTTTACACAAGTGTCTCAGCAGCAGCAGCTGTCCCAAACTGGATCCCCAAAGCACAAACAAGCAATTACAATTTGTCCCGTTACTCCCAGAATATGTCCGAATTACTACTCCCTGTGCTTTAACACTTTTATCAATCTGACTTTCAATATATATATATATATATATCAAAAAAGTTTGCTTTCTGAAGGATCCTGAATTCTTATCTAAATGTCTATGTAGACATCAAACATGTAAACTCAGCAGGCACTGGGGCAACACAATTAACCCTTAACAATTAACCCACAGAGACAAGCAAGTCACCAGAATATAAACTGACAGCAAACAGCACTCCTTACTAGCACTGATGATGTTACCTAGTTAGGGTAATGAAATTACCTACAGAAAACAAGCAAGCTCAGAGAGCACCAAGGACCCCTCACTATTAACCCTATGCCTTCAAATTCATGACCTTCCATATCTAAGGCAGAAGGCTTATACGTATATTTGCATTTGAAAGCAGTGATATAGTCTTAAGATACATTCTTAAGAGTTCTTAAGATACATTCTTAAGAGTTCTTAAGATACATTCTTAAGAACTCAAATTATTGTGCTATGTTCACTCGAGAAGATACTGTAAAGCCTTCTGTAGGTTAAAGCGACTTGATCATCTATTTATTTATTTATTTGTCGCATTTATATGCCGCCCAACTCCCTGGGGACTCTGGGCGGCTTACAACAAAAAATAATGTGAACAATATACTATAAAAGTTGTTTTAAAAAAACATTAAAAACCTATACACTCCATTCATGGCCGGATCTCGCAAGATTGCAGCAGCAAAATCAACGGCCCCAGGCCTGCCGGAAAATCCAGGTCTTCACCATTTTCCGGAAGGCCAATATGGTCGGGGCGGTCCGGACCCCAGGAGGTAATTGGTTCCAGAGAGCCGGGCCAGCCACAGAGAAGGCCCTCCCCTGCGAGCCCGCCAGCCGACATTGTCTATAAACATAAGCTTTCACACACATTTTATTTTAATTAAGGAGCAGCATTAGTCGAGGAGGGGACATCCATTAGGGATAGCTGTAACACTAGCATAGAGATTTGGAAAAGCAAGATATGTAAATATAGCAAGATGTTGATTTACATTTTTAATACAATTGAACTTTAAATGTGGTTTAAACAAAGCAACATTTATAGTTTACTTTAAACTGCTGACAAAGCAAATACAAATTGACTGTGATCAGCATGCATTCTGTATTACAGCAAAGATATGGAAGACTTATTTTGGGAAATGAGTCCTTGTTGCGTATACATTGATTACCATAGCCAAATATATACATAGTAATCAAAACTAAATTGAGTTTCTGCTGTTTATCAATCAATTGCTAACTTTTAAAATCTTTTTAGTCCATTTGATATTTAAATTTTTGGTGAGCTTTAAGTAGTAATCGTAGAATTCGCATTAATCAGGAAGAGTACAGGCAGTCTTTGACTTATGACCACAATTGTGCCCAAAAGTTCTATTGCTAAGTGAGACAGTTGTTAATTGAATTTTGCTCCATTTTACAACTTCTTGCAGTTGTTTAAATGAATTTCTGCAGCTGTTAAGTTAGCAAAATGGTTGTTAAGTGAATCCGGCTTCCCCATTGACTTTGCTTTTCAGAAGGTCGTAAAAGGTAATCACCCCAGGACACTGCAACCATCATAAATAGAAACTAGAATTGCCAAGCATCCAAATTTTGATCATGTGACAAAGGGGATGCTGTAATGGTTGTAAGTGTGAAAAAGAGTCATGTCACTTTTTTCAATGCTGTTGTAACTTGGTCACTAAACAAAGTGTTGTAAGCCGAGGACTACCTGTACCACAATATTTAGTAAGAATTCTTATAGGCTAAATGTACTTGTTTGCATCCATGCGGCATCATCCTGTGCTTATTTCTGCAATAATTCTCCCTTGATTGATTGAGAGTTGTTATTCATTATTGTTTCTCAAAACAATTAAGAAACCATGGAAGTAATATCCAACAATATGAAAAAGTGCAAGATTGAAAAGACTACCACAAAACACATACATATACACATCACAATAAGCAAGCAAAGTACAGAAAGTTATAACAGCCTAGTCTCTCTTCTTCACATAATTAAGGAACTGTTTTATACTACAAAATCCAGAAATAAACTCTTTTCTTTCAATGGATTTTACTTCTATTGGATTGCAGCTAAAAGCTGGTATATCGTTTTCCAATTGAGCGGCAAAAAGTATCTATATCAAAAGGTGTATCACTGTTGTAGAAGAGAATTGAAGTAATAACACTGAAAAAGAACTTGCAATATTTTAATATTAGTAAATTCACATAAATATTTATTAACACATAGCTATGCAAAAGATATGTAGTTCAAGTGAACTAGTTACTTATATATTCTTATTTGGATAAATGTTTTCTATGGACTTTTCGTTTTGCCAAATTCACATCTTCTCCTGAAAGCATTATCTTTCTCTTTAATGAAAGCATCTTTTCTCTTTAGTTGTCTTTGACATACTCTTGATCACATGCTTTCAGTTATTTAAGTTTTTTCTCTTTAATATCAATCTTAATTATGTGAAGTAATAAAATTTATTCATTTGAATACAAACACATTGAAAAACACAGTTTTCAGAGTCATATGATTGCCCCAATCTGACAAATACCCCATTCTGTCTCCAGCAAATAAAAGACATCTTTATGTGATTGTAAATATATTTTTTGAGAAATGGTAAATAACAAGAGACATTTCTGTAACCTTACAAAACCCAATGATGGCAAAGTATGTAAAAGATTATTCGCATAAGTTACTAATAACAAACTTATTCACTCACATTAAGCCACTTCTTTAAGACCAATTCTGGTCTTCTGTAATTCAAAATACTGAAAATCATGTCATATATCTCTATCAAATTTGAATTATATCATTCAATTTCTCCCGGAGTTGTTGTTGTTGTTGTGTGTCTATATATATGTGTGCGTGTACCTGTGTGTGTATACACACACACACACGCAGAGGATATTAGGAAAAAAAGAGTTAAGAATTACCATGTTTCTCCAAAAATAAGCCCGTCTTATATTTTTTTGAACCTCGAAATAAACGCTTAGCCTTATTTTTGGGGAGGTCTTATTATTTTGGGGTGCGTGGAGCAAGATAGGCCATCTTACCTGATTTCCAGCTCTGTGTTTAAATATTATTGGGGAGGGCTTATTTTTGTGGGGAGGCTTTTTTAGCGCATGCGCTCAAAAGTCTGATTAGGCTTATTATCAGGGGATGTCTTATTTTCGGGGAAACAGGGTAACATAATGAAACAATTCCAATAATTTATTTACAAAAATGACTTTTCATAAGGAATACAGATCATTCCTTACTAAGGAAATTCACTCAAAAATATCAGCTGTCTACCTCAATGCAATGCATATAAAATTGAGAAATTTATGATATTAATGGTTCCCCTGGATATTAATATTAATTCAGTTGAACCTTAATATTTTTATTGTATTTATTTCTCTATGTGCTTGCTCCTGATAATTTTAGTTTGGTCAGGCAAAGACATCAATTTCTCCTTTTGTTTTGTTTTTTCAACCCAGGCTGCTTATTTTAGAACAAAAACTAATATTAGGAATTCTAAAGTTATGAAACCTGCAGACTTTTATCTGGTCTATAATGCAAATATCTTAATTTAAACTAAAAAGTATGTATTTGTAATATGCTCTAAAATATTTAGTTGGAAGCATTTGCTACATACATGCCTACCTTGTAATAATGGCTTCAGCAATCTAAATATTGCAATCCTTTCCCACAGACTTTAGGACAGCCTAGTTATGAGATCAACCACTACCTTAGAACATGCCTAAGCAACAGGCTGAAAATAACCTGCCACCAGGTCACCCAGTGAATTTCAATACTAGCCCTACCAACACAATTCTTTGTAGAGTTCTGTAATTCAAGATACTGGTAATTACTTTCCCAAGAACTCAGATTCTAGCACACTGAGCACTATCTTACTTCTCCACCCCATCCCGGTGTAGCATCTTAATATCAATGAACAATAAAAGTGGCCTATGTAGGTGATTTATATATAAGCCTGTATTACATTAATACTAAAACAAATATTAACATTAACACAAATATGAATTAATCCCAGGTTTCCAACAAAGGAAATGTACACACATTTTTGATCATTCCATTGATTTTAACAATATAAATGACCAAAATTGAAACATTTTTGAAGTAATCTACAAGCAAGAAAACGCATACAGTTCAGACAACTTAATCACTGTTTCTTCATTTTGAAAAATTAATAAAGTGCATAATTATCCAAAACAATATCCCATAACATCATCTGGCTTATCTATGCATGCATTTGCAATAGAACCTGAATGCTATCTACTGGTATGATAAAATAATGCAAATATAATTGCTAAACTAAGGTTCAAAATACAATGTCACCTTATAAAACTTAACAAATTAGAGTTTTTAAAAGTGCTATGTATGCATGCTGCCTTTGCATCTTGAAAGAAAGGTAGATTATACCTCTTATCAATTCATTAAACATGTTTCAGAAAGCTTTCTGAACATAGCTTCATTTGGAATGATTTCTACAGTTTTCAAGCCATTTCCAGTTTACTGAAACTGAAATCAAGAAAGCTATTCAAATATCATTTTGAAATTTAGAAACTGTGCATGCAACTATAAAAGAATTACAGTCTGCCTAGGAATGCATGAAAGAGTTACAAATTCAAGGAATAGTCTTTATTTTGCATTACTGGCTGGACTGCTAACTCGGTTTCGTCTATCCTTTAATATTTTAAAATTTTACTCTGTCTGGAGAGTCCATTGGAGTAGGGAAACTAATCAATTTAAACAAGCACATAGCAAGAAAATCCACCCTGAAGCTCTCAACATAACCTATTTCCCAAAGAAGGATAGAGCCCCATCCAAGCATTACTTGACAGCTTCACACCCAGACAAAAGCATCCTAAAACCAAGAGTTCCTGCCTTCACGTTCTGGGTGCGTGGACTGTCATTTAACACATTCTAGTTTTCCACTTTGCATTTTAGCTGAAAACCCAACTCTTTTAAAATAAGCTATTGTGGCAGAGATACTTTTCTCCCGAGGATCTCATAGTAAGGGAATCTGCAGAATAACTGCCCGGAGTTAAAATTAGACAGAATTGGAAGAACACCTGATGCAAAAATAAATAAATAAATAAATAAACTGCCCAGTTCTGAGACAGATATAAATATCTCAAGCCATCCTCTCTTAATTTCCAAACTCCTTAACCTTGAGACTATTTGTTTGGCTTGCAGGTGACCCCTGGCTACAATTTCAACAATCAGAAAGAATTTCCCTACTACGGCTAGAAATACATCTTCCCTCGGCTATCCCCGCCTGCTATCTCTCACCTCTCCTCCAAGTGTCATCCACCTAAAGTCCACATCCACGAACAAAAATAACCAAGCTCGGAACTGACAAGGGAACGAGAACCAATTTATTCTTCATAACGGATTCTTAATTTCAAATTTGCCTGGTCCACCGACACCGTGCAGGGCAGAGGGAAAGGCGACCGGGGGAGGGAGGGGGGGGGGCGCAGAGAGAGAGAGAGAGACCGCTAAGGTGCCAAGTCCTTTTAAAAACATGTCACATGCTCAGATAAAGTTCAGCCGAGGTTCCTCCTCTCTCCCCCTCCTATTGGTCGGCGAGAAAAGCGGAGCCTCGAGATCGGAATCCGTAGCGAACTTCCATTGGACAAGCCCTTTTGTCAGTCACCCGGCAGGCGACATGACTGATACAAAGTTGCTGCGACACAAGCTAGAAAATGTATCTCTTCTTAAAGCTGTAGAGCCTCTGTTAGCAGAGTGGCTCGCCTTGCTTTCCCTCCGGGGGGGGGGGGGGGGTAATTTTCCCCCCCCCCCCTATCCATTGATGCCAGGAAAAGTGAGATTTTAGGAATTGATCTTTGTAACACGGACAACTTTCAGGATAGCAACAACAACAGCAGAGGGATAAAAGGCAGCTTCTAAAAGGGAAACCCGCTCAATCCGGCCTCCGAACGGGAGTTAGAACTAGATCCCACGCCCTCAAGTTGCCAGCCCTTCCTAAATTGCATCCGTCTAACCGTTTCCTCTTTAAAAAAAAAAAAAAAGGAAAGGAAAAAAAAAAAAACCCACGCTGAGATCCGAATTGGGAGGGTTCTCTTCCCAAGTCAGCCCTGCCCGCCCCTCGGGACATGATCTCTACCTGTATCAAGGTAAGCGCCTGGGGAATCCCCTCCCATCTGCCCTTAAGCCCACTCGAGGAAGCAAGGACACGCAAGATTTCATCTCATGCAGCGAAAAACCGCCACGCTTTAACAGGGCAGCAAATAATCCATCTTGTCAAGAGCAATAAGCAGCTTCTCTCCCCGACCTCCCCCCACCCGACCCCACATTTAAAAAAAAAAAAACCCCAAAAAAGCGAAGAGAAACCTTATTAAGAGGCTCAAGGACTTGCCCTCTGGTTCTCAGTTTGGATTTTATTGCGTCTAGTAGGTTCTTTGCCAACTGCTTATTTGGATTTTTTTTTTTTAAGTTGCACAGACTGATAAGCAAGGGCCATAAAAATTAACTCCCAAACTCTAAACCCTTTTAGCAGGTCTTGGAAACATTTCATCACACGCTCCATCTTTGTGGCCGGAGTTTCTAAATATATATATATATATTTGAAAGACAATGACATTCTCTCCCTCCTTTTATTGGACGGGCAGGAATGCCGCAGGTTTTGGAGCTTCACGGAAAACTGTCTCAACTCCATAACAGCCCCCAAATTTTTGACACCCCACCCAAACGGCAGCGGTGTTAACATTCCCCCCTCCTTCCGCCAGGAGACAGCTCCTTCCCCCCTCCCCTCCGTTTGCGTACACACCCTTCTCGATCCAGTTTCCCTCGATAAAAACGCCTAGCTCCCCTTCCCCAAAAAACAATAGCCTAGAGAAATAAAGTTTAAATGAAATTCAAAGCCAGCCAAGCTGCAGAAGTCCACCGATGGCACGCGAGACAGAAATCACTCCACAATAACTCTTTTTTCCAAAGGCAAAACGTGCTTAGAGATTTTGTTTAAAGGGAAAAAAAAAAAAAAACAAACCCCCCCCCCCCCCGGTCTTATTTTTTTTTTTTTTGCAAAAGGGGGGTTCCAGATTGACTGAGATGTCACGTGTCCTTAATGTTTTTAGCCTTTTAATACATATTGATCCGCGGTTTTTTGGGTTTTTTTTTTTTTTTTTCTGGCAGCCTGGATCAGCTGAACACCGAGCTACTTTAGTTCCGTGGCCCCAAAGGCCGAAATGCTCTTGCTATGCCTTTCTCTCTCTCTCTCCCTCTCTCCCTCTCTCCTTCTATTTCTCCTCCCCGCCCGCTAAGTTTTAAATTGGATTAAGCGAGGACTGGCAATGACCTGGAAGTGCCTCTTCTGCATATTTTGGCTCACAGAAGGCACTTCGTTTGACTAGGGCTACCTATTAATCCTTCGTTTTATTCTCCGCGGAATGACATTTTAATTCCTCTCCAGAAGAGCACTCCCTCTGTCACTCAAGCTCTTTTACCTGTCCGCCTTTGGGACTCCGGTCAAAAAGATGGTATGGCTTTTGGGTTGGTTCCCCCCCCCCTTTTCTGGACTCACCTTCATTTTTTAAAATCTCTGTTTCGCTTTGCAATGGCCGGAGGAACAAGTCCCTCCGGGTCCGCTCCAGAAAGCGGCCGATTAAGGGAAGAGTAGCAAGGAAGAAGGTGGAATCCGGAGGAAATCGGGGCTTAAATCCTGAAGGAGACGGGCAAACCCGTCAAGGAGCTTGCTAGGGACTCCCCCGAAGCGGCGTCTTCAAAAAAAAAAATGAAAGGAATTAAAAAAAAAAAAAAAAAAGCAAAAACCAATCCTCCTAAGCTTCTCTCAGGCGACCCAGGGCCGTTCGTTAAACTGGAAGCGGAGAAGTCCACTTGGTTGAAGCTTCCTCGGTGACAGCTCTCCGCAAGGAGGACCGGCTGAAGGGCTGTCACATTGCCGACCGCGGCTGGAAAGCAAGCGTCGGGGAGAAAAGCTGGAGCTTCGGATCTAAGCCGAGGTTTCAAATTCTTATTTGGGGAAGAAGGGTGGGGGGGAAGGAAAAAAAAAAAAAGAGGGCGGAAATCCACCAACTTCCAGGTAAAACTCCCGTCTGCGCCTGCAGCGCCGCCGCCGCCGCGGGAAGAGGTGGGTGAGAGAGCGCAGCTCCGGAGGGGGTAAACTTTTCTCTCCCCTCCCTCCCCTGGCGTCTCTTCAAAGCAGCCCAGTCTGCGCGGGTGTCCTTCCTTCCTTCACCTTCCTTCTGCCTCCGCCGCCGTTTTTTTTTTCTTCCTCCCTCCTCTTCCTCCTCCTCCTCCTCCTCCCCGCTTCCCAGGATTTTTCTCTCACACTCTGCCGCTGGAGCTAAGTCCCGGTTTGCGGGGCTGCTGGAAGAAGCGGGAGGAGGAGAGAGAGAGAGAGAGGACGAGCGGGAGGGGCAGCCAGCGCTCGCTCTCTCTCTCTCCACCCCCCTCTCTCTCTCCAGGCGTGTCTCGCGGCGAGCGGCGGACGCTCAGAGCCAACGAGATGGCCTCTCCGCCTCCTTCTTCCCGCCCATCGGGCTCGAACGGGAGGGGAGGGCAGAGAGAGAGAGGGGGGGAGAGGCGAGCGCCTCACGGACTGTTCGCCACCGGCTTTCCCGTCCAGTGTCTGGCTCGGGCGGCTGAGCGGCTCGGGCTTGCTTTTGCGCACAGGCGGAGAAGGAAGGGAAGGAGGGAGGGAAACCCGGGAATCTGGCCAGGCCAGAGAGCAGACGGAGCCGACCCCCGTCGTAAAGCTGGTGTGGGGAAACGAGAGAGGCGAAAAGGTGGCTGTCCGCGGCCTTTGCTCTTGGTAACTGCTATGTGGCCGCTACTTCCCTCCAGCTGCTTCTTTCCCTCCACCTTTGCTCCACTCAGCGACGCGCACAACAGGTTTTTGTTTCCTTTTCAACCCTCCTCCTCCCTGCCCGTGTCTATACACGTGCCGGCTGGAGGTATAAAAAAAAAAAAAGAAAAAAAAAAGAAAGAAAAGGAGACGCGGCTCACAGGCAAAGTTTATAAAAGGCTGTTTTTTAGTACCCGGCGCGGAAGGGATTCGGTGCTTAAAAGTTCTCTCAACAGATCCAAGAAGATGTAATGGTTTTTTTTTTTGGTGCCAACCTGTGTTTTTTAAGAGTTCGGTTAGAGAAGAGTGTTTAAGGAGGTGAACTTGAGTTAGAAAAGAGGGAGGGGAGGGGGGATAAAGAGGAGGGGTCCTGAAAGGGAGGGGCAAGGGTAGGGAGCCACCCCTCCCTTAAACATTTTTCTCCCATTTATGAACGCTTGCAAGTTAACAGCTGCTTCTCTTAAAAAGGCAATGATGCTACTCGGTTACCGCACCTAAAAATCATTTTAGTCTTAGCTGGTGATAAGGTCTTTCCAAATCTATTGGACTAGAACAGGGGTCTCCAACCTTAGCAACTTTAAGCCTGGCGGACTTCAACTCCTAGAATTCCCCAGCCAGCTTTGCTGGCTGGGGAATTCTGGAAGTTGAAGTCCGCCAGGCTTAAAGTTGCCAAGGTTGAAGACCTCTGGACTAGAAGACCTCCAAGGCCCCTTCCAAATCTGTTATTCGGTGGTCACAAATGCCTTGTATTCAAATCTTTATTGTCGATGCACAACACGTGTACAATGAGATTGGGTTCTAATCTATTCTAATGATCAGATGCATTTAAATAGCCAAGTGTGTTTTATGCTCCTCAGAAGTGCAGCTATTCATGTTCCTGTTAGTGAACGGGTCGAGTCCACGGCATGAGTGGAATCGAGACTTTTTTTTTCCCATTATTTTTTTTTTATATGAAGTACTTCCATATACAGGTCATCCTCATTTAGCGACTGTCTCGGACAGCAACCATTCACAATGAGGATGCTGATGGGAAAAAAAAGTAACATCGTAATCAATCCTCACGTTTATGACCTTCACAGGTTTATAAAACAAAGGAAAGCCGAAGATAGCAAGCATAGTTACAGTTTCACTTAGAGATCAGTCTGCTTAACATCTGAGTTGCTGCTCTAATTGCAGTCACTAAATAAGGATTATGTACCCTTTCAAATCACAGCTCTATAAACTGTATTGAAACAATAAAAAGGAGAGTGTTGGTGAAAAAAAAGTGAGACTCTTCCTTGAATTTAAAGGGTGGATTCAAATGCATTCTTATAATTAATAATTATAATTAATAATTATAAGAATTATGTTGGGAATTCTCAGCTACTGTTTAGGAATATTTTAATTGCAGGGATTGGGAATTCTCAGCCACTGTTTAGGAATATTTTAATTGCAGGGGTATTATTTAAATCAAACAATTACTGTTAATGAGCTGATAAGGTAGGATGAGCAGCAGGAAGTGAGGCTGGCGTGAATTCAGAGATAGCTTTCTTCATCAGGATTGCCTTTGATCTTGATGTCTAAGTGGTGGGGGCAGTGCTCCTGGGTTGGCATTGCCAGGAAGATTGGAGAGTTCCCTTTATACTGTATTATCTGTATGTCCTACTAATTAAAAAAAAATGTCTAGATCAGTGTTTCCCAACCATGGTAACTTCACAATGTGTGCGGACTTCAACTCTCAGCATTACCCAGTTAGCATGCCATCTAGGGAATTCTGGGAGTTGAAGTTCACCCCTTGAAATTGCAAAGACTGAGAACACTTCTGGTTGACTGAGAATATTGGAGTTATGGGTCATACTAGAACACAGGTGTCAAACTCGCGGCGTCACCTTGCCGTCATGTGATGTTTCGTGATGTTTTTCCCATTCGCAGAGCTGGGGTGGGGATCGCCTGCCTGTGCCGCATTCAGCCCGTGGGTCACCAGTTTGACACCCCTATACTAGAAGATATCAGGTTGAAAAAAATTGCCATTTTAAAAAAGTATATTATAAAAGCACAGTACATGTTCCCAAGATGCTATGTTTTTTTCAGGCTTTAGCAATGCTGTCAGGCTCTAATGTATACATTGTGAGCAGAACTGCTAAGTTTATAGTTAAGGCCTTTGAGCTAAGAACTCGTTATATCAAACAGATTGGGATCCTTGTAAGGTGATGTATTTATCTGAATGCTGATTCTTTTTTATTTACCACATTAATTTTTATTAGTTTATATATTTTATTACTGTATTTTCTTTTATTTATTTTACTCTGGAGTTAGATCCTATATTTTACTTTTATTTTATTTTATCTTTTGATGTGATCCTAAGACCGATCAATTAATAAACTACTATCACTACTGCCAATGCTCTTATTTTTTGTCTCTATATACTCTCAAGGAAAGCAAAATGATGGGAAAAGAAGAGAGAACATTATCTAAGACAGACAGAAAATGTAGACTTTAGCAGTTTATTTTATTTTATTTATTTATTTTTACCCTGCTTTTATTATTTTTACATATAAATCAAGGTGGCAAACATGTTCAAAACACCTTCCTCCTACCCACAAAGAAAAAATTGCATTTGATAATCCAGGTTTATCAGAAGAAAATTGATTTTGGAGACCTTTTGTATAAAGTGCAAAAAGAAAGCAGATAAAGGTAGATTTTTCTCCATATATAGCAATGGTAATTGGAGCTGGCAACCCTGTCACTAAGCGAAGCAATCGTAAAGCATATCACAGGACCGTGCCAATTTAAGATGACAATTGTAGGAGTCCCAGTTGCCATTGTTAGGCAAATCCTGTGCAGTCACAGCATGGCCTCATCATGCAGTTGTCATTTGTGACCTCATCCTGGCTTCCCCATTGACTTTGCTTGTTGGAAGCTGGCAATGAAGGTCACAAATGGCATTCATTGTGACTGAGATGCAGCATATGTCATAATTGTGAGCTGGTTGACAAGTGTTCAAATTATGATCCTATGACAGCAGAAATGCTACAACAGGAACCAGTTGTCAGTCCTCATTCAGCGGCCTCAGAACTTTAAATAGTCACTAAACAAGTGGTTGTTCACCAAGGACTACCTAACAGAGACAAGGAACAATCTTCCATGTGATATTTAGATAGTGACATTTTTAAAAAGAGAAATAGACATAACCATGAAGGCTAAGTCTAGCAGTCTATTAGGTTGACTTTAATCCCAATGCTATACTTTCATATGAGAAAGTATCTGATTTAACAGCATAGGATGCTAGTTTAACACAGCCCTGCCCTGTTCTGGTACATTTCGAGAACATGTTATATGAGTTAGTCCAATCCATCTAGAGAACACCAGTTTGTGAACCATAATATTCTGTACAATCTTTTAATGACCTGGTAGGTACATAAGGAGACAGAGAGAGAGAGATGATAGATATATAGATAGATAGATAGATAGATAGATAGATAGATAGATAGATAGATAGATAGATAGATCTTTTAAGAGATGGCTTTTAATATACCTTTTATTTTAGATATCACAACACTGAAAGTAAAATGCAAGTAATCCATGGGTACATTCATGTTGGAATACAACATTTGTGAGAAACTGATAAAATCTGAAAAATGAATTAAAACAGTTGATTTTAAACTATTTTTAAAGATTTTGGGAGTGTCTTCTGAGTTCAACGTGGCTTCAGTATATGCTTGGCACAGTATATACCTGGCACCTGAAACGTGTATTAAGTAAACAGTACAACCTGGATTTCTTTAGCAACCTCAGAGGTACACTAGTCACAATTTTATAAGAAATTGTGCTTTTATAAGAAATCTCTGCTTGAACAAACCCAAAAGTTCAATTTTATAAGGCATTAAAAAGTGAAGTAAAAATTAATGTTTTTGGCAGGGGTTACTTAGCAATGGGGGTCTGTTCTCCGAGCTTGCTGTTTAGCTTCTGGATGTTTTGTTACCAAACTAGGTAATTTCAGTGGAGTTTTGGGATGAAGTGTCTTGTTCGTTTATATAGAACCTGGGTGATTAGTTGGTCTTGTGACTGGTTGTATCACAAGACTAATAGAGTCACAAGACCAACCAACCACCCAGGACCAATATAAACAAGACATTTCACCCCCAAACCCCACTGAAGATATTACCTAGTTTGATAACGAAAAGTCCAGGAGCTAAACAGTAAGCTCGGAGAACAGACCCCTACAACCTGAGCTACGAATATTCTCAACAATTTCTAAAGGTTAATATTTGTGTGTGCGTGTGTATGCGTGTGTAAAACGAAGAACTAGACTATCCAGTTTCAGCAGATCAATGGGCCCAGACACTAAAAAATGACAGCTATGCTACTTATTTAAAAATAAAGCTAATTCATCAGTAAATGTTATTTTGCAAGTACCTCTAGCTGCTCCATGTGAATTTTCTGAGCGTAGAAAGTAGAAGTATCCATGACCCAAGGAAAGAGACCAAGCAACTATCACCATCTGTCATTGCATTAGTTGAAGTCATGAAAAGTGGCATTAGAATGAGTTGAGGGGACCATCTCTTGTAGAACGCAAGAAGCAGCTATTTTTGCACTTGGCAGTTTGGTGG